TATATATATATATATATTGTCTACTGACCGAGAAGCGGAGAAATCTTTTTTTACGAATAATTTTATTTTTGAATGGAATACGATGAAAAGAATAAAATTTCACTATATTAAAACGATACGAATTTTCTTTCTTTACGATACACGGCGTGTATGCCATCCCCTTTCATCCCCCTTTTTCCGTTTCAAGATTAGACTTGCGACGAATCACCATTGCAGATTTAATAATTTATACTTTATGCTGAAATATTTTCTGAATTTTTAAATTCACATGGAACATTTTGTCAATTTTAAAGATTACAATTAAGCTTTATAAATCATATCTATACTTAATATTTAATTTTTAATCATCTAAGTTGCACTTTGAAAAATTGCAAATTTTCGTCGATTCGTAGCGATAGAAAAATTTCAGTACTTTAGTCCTGATCGTAGGACGAGGAGCAGCATCCTCGAAGGAGAAACCGGAATTACAGCCAGCGTCCCATCGTGCACCGCGTTAATTATCGCAATTGGCTAATTGGCTCAATTGGGAAAGTTCTCGGTACGAATTAAGATGTTGAATTTTTGCAGTCGATTCGAATATTCGTTTCCCGGAAGCGTGATCGTAAATCGTCGAGAGAACATCCAACTCGGATCATTGAACTAGAAAAATCGAAAATGATCTTTTGTTCTCACTAGAAAAGAAAAACAAAAGCGGAAATTATTTCTGAATTAGAAAAAACAAATATTAAGACTGTGGTTCAGATCAAATTTTATTAGCCAGAAATTTTACTTAGCTGAATATTTTCGGAATTTCAGTTTCTCGCTTAAATTCCTCTTTAACGCGTACGTGCAACTGAAGTACATAAATAAGTTCATCACAATTTAATATTCATTACAGATGACAGATAAATGGCAAATTGAAAACAAATAATTCGGCCGCGAAAGGGTTAAGTTTCTAGATTTGCGTAAAGATAATCAAAAGTATTCGCCGTGAAAAAGTTTCGTTCGTGTTTGGAAGCATTCGACGAGCTCTCGAAATCAGCTGTTTCGTTATTAGCAGACGTAAACGGGCGTTTATGATGCTCGCGATAAGTGGGCATTGTGTGAAAGCAGACCCGTGGGCGGAATTGGGTATGATTGAATCGGAATTGAAATGGTTTTAGATTCAGAAAAATTCGACTGAGAGGAGCCGTTCGAAATTGATGGACATTTCAGTGAAATTCGACGGATAGCATTTTTTTTTTATTATCATTGAAATTTGGGATGGTATAATGGTGGATGG